ATAAGGGCCCTTCTCTTTAGCTGCTGATGGATGCTTGACTGTTGATTGCAAGTGTATAAAAAGTAGTTATGTGTTGCTGGGGAATCCCCCATTAAAGATTGTTAGAGTTGTTTCTGCCAGCCTATTACTAAAACAGGTCTCCCATCAGTGACAGAAAGAACAAGTTCAGTACACCATACTTTCAAACGTACGCCCTGTGTCCCCATTGGTGTCTTTCACTAAAATACTTTATTCTCTTCAAATTAGACCTTGTTTTTATTTATTTAGAAACATTTAATATTGAATTTAGGTAAAAACATCTCCTTTCAGTTTAATCTAGAAAACCTGTTAATATTTTTATTTAATTTTATTTTACATCACACCAAATACAAATTTGGGTCTCATGAGGTTAACCAGCAGGTGTCACGAAAGAGGGAATAATACAGCAGCATGGAATAGCAGCAGAAGAAGAGTTTATTTGAAAGTCTGCAAATATAACTAATTAAATAGGGAGCCTAAGTCTCCTCCCTTTCCGGGCAGCTCTTGGATCCCCGGAAAAAAAAAAAAGAATTTAAGTCAACAGGCCTAAAAATGCTATTTTCTAATCTGCTTTGCCGTACACCCTGGATCACACATATGTCATACTACAATTTAAATGAAAAGTAATGATGGGTGTTTTGACCCCGCCAGTCACATACTTTGAGATTTATCCGCTTGTAAAAGTCCGTAATTAGCATGACTACACAGCAGAAATCGGCACGTCGCATATGTGAAGTCACCACACAATCTCCTGCTAGTGTAGCTGCTACTTACCAAATGACCAGATTTATGGTGGTTCTTTCCTCCTGTGGGAAGTTTGCTGAATTTACAGCCATTTTCCTTCCGTTGTCTCCGTGTCTGTTTCGATGACGCCACTTTCATGATGCGTATTTGTAGTCCTAGACTTATTTTAAAACAAAACCTAAAATAGTGTTTCCCCCTGTTTGAAAATAAGCGTGTTCTTGGTATCAAAAAGCTTCTTTAAAATTTACGGACATCACATGTGAAATCCATGGTATATAACAAGCGGGATTAGAAAATAGCCCTTTTAGCCGCATTGACTTGTAATAATTTTTTCGGTCTTCCGGGACCCATGGTCCGGAATTAGACGGGCCTGACTTAGGTTTTCTATAGCATTTTTGCGATTTAGCAGTTTTGCATCACATATCTACTCTCTGCTGAACCTTTTATACTTTTTTAAGTCCCACTCTGTCAATGTTAGATTTTGCCAACAAAAATTAAGCTAATACATTTAATTACCTCAAAAACATCATTCAAAATATAATCGCTGTGAGTTCAATGTTACATTTTTCTAGGAGTCACATAGAAAACCTTCTACTGTCACTGAAAGGGGTCATGACTGTGACTACCATGAGTATTTGTGCCTTTGTCCTCCGAGCTCCGGTACTCTGATGTCCTCAGACCTTGATCGATGGTTGGAGGAAGAAGCCCGGCATCAAATAAAACCTTTTTTACTTAGAATTCACGTCCAGCCTTCATCCATCTGCTCTCCATTTCCTTCCCTCACCTCGTCTCCTCGGGGCGACGGGGGGTTATAGGCAGGGGAGTAATGAGGGGAAGGGGGCCGCTGTGGCCAGGATGGCGGAGTCGTTACAACCCAGCTTTTGTGATTCTATTGCTTGTTATCGAAGCTCTCACCAGTGCTTGTTGTCTCATTATCCGTGACTTGAAGTGCTTTTTGTCAAGAGGCTGCATGTGAGGCACACACACACACACTCATACACACTCACATAGTGCAGCCATGTCTTTAGTCTCCTTCTTAACACGGTAATATTATGTCTCTTAATGGGAACAGGGAGCTCTGTGCCAAGAGTTCCTCTGGATAATTGGCTGCTTCCTCACCTGCTGACATCTCCCCATTGACATTCTCACATTTTACATTTAAGGTGCTTCATTTCTTCTCCTCATTGAACCCCCCCTCACCACCACCACCACCACCACCAGTCTTCTGACTTACAATACTTACACTTGCCTTTTCCTAAATCTACATTTTCATCTTCTGCTAAATTTAATCCCGACTGCCGATGAAACTGTAGAAACCTCTCATTGTCATTCATGCAATGGACTCTTTCCGTCCTGCTAGAATGAATGAAGAGACATTTTCTCATTTCATCTGAGCGGGACTCTGGCATTAAGGATGAATTTAAGAAAATTTGAGGGAATATTTTTAATAATCTTATCTCGTGACGTTTCAGAACACATCACTTTTCCAAAGTTCTCCTGCCTAACTTTATTGTTTCCAATAAATCTTTTGCTACTTTACACTGAGGGTTTAGTTTTAGTCATTGCTTAAAATTATGATTCACATCTAATCTAATCTGATTTGGTTAGGACTTGAGTCAGAGGCAATGCGCAGCAGGTGGAGTAGGTCTGTGATGTCAGTCTGCTAACTGATTAAAATGCATGAAAGTATCTATAAGGCTGTCCCTTTTATCTCTGATCTGCATCATTCACTCTTAATCAGAGCAGGAAACCGTCTCATAGCTCGAGCCGTGGCCTTGACTCTCAGGCTGACTGCTGAAACATAAAAGCTGTGGATAACTTCCTTTAAAAAGGTCAACTGTGAGTCTAAATGTAAAAGTCGCTAATAAAATAAGCCGTAAAAGGTAAGAAATTAACACTAATGTGGTGTTTAGAATAGATTCTCAGATAAATGATGATGGCAGAAAGGGTAAAGCAAAGCCACAGTGGCTGCAGCCTGGATGGGCTGGAAGTTATAAATAAAGGATATGTTCTGTGTGAAATAAATGACTAAACATGAAATAATGCGGAGCTACGAGCAGCACTTGATTCTGTTCATTTTAGGCTAAAAAAGAATATGCAGTAGGGAAATGTCATCTTATTTTAGCAACTTGGAACTTTTTTCATTTTGAAAGTTAAACATTTATGTCGGAATGACATTTAAACAATTGCTTATTAATAAGAAATAAAACCAAAAAAACATGTTCTATGACAGGGCCGTTCAAGTCTGGTCCTGGAGAATCATCACTGCATGTTTTAGCTATAGTCGAATCAGCTCATCAGCATGTCTCCAAGTTCTTTGGGTGTCTGTAATTCAAACCAGATGTGTTGTAGGAGAATATGCAGGTAATGGTCCCTGAGGACAGGGATGAATGGCTCAGATCTATTCCTTGTCAATGTTTGATGTGCATGCATGCAGTATGTCATCTATTTTCTACAAATACCCCTTCTTCTGCATGTTTGGGTCTGGGGCATGGGGCAGCAGCTCTTGGAGGGAAGCCCAATCAACCAACCCATCTTTCCAAGATCCTAGAAATGGAATCCATCAAGCATGCGCTGGCTCATCCTTCCAGCCGATGTGGCAGAACCAAATCAGCTGACTTCTCTATGTGGTGGAGCAGCAGCTCTACTCTGAGTCCATCATGGCTGAGCCCGGCTACCCTGCAAAAGAGAGGCATTTCAGTGTTTCCATCATGTCTTATTTAATGGTTTTCTACTTCTCCCAAGGTCTCACATTTTGAGAGAGCGACAATGGTTCTGTGACTAACATGAGAAGAAAATTACCATCCAACCTTTTGAAAAATGTTCAAACTGAAAGCAAGCCCTATGACTCACATCGAAAACCCTCGAAGGCCTTTCAGGAAACTACTCTACAAATGCTGTTTGAAGTTTGTCTCCAACAGTCCAAGTTCATCCAGATACTGGCTTTATGTAAAGCTAAATACAATAGAAATAAAATCCTCCTTAATGGGTTTTTCCTTTCCTTTATTTGATTTGATCCTATCGATACTTCTTCATTTGGCCTTGGAGAATTTGGAGCAGAACTGGTGCTAGTCTGATGTCATGACTATGACCTCATCATGCCATCAGCATTAGCATTCAGCCTGCAGCTACTTCCTGTTGTTGTCTGATAGAGTTGTGATAGTGTGGAGTCCTAATATTGGGGTGATCACAATTGAATGTGTGTGTGTGAGTGAGATATTTTTGTTTTGGGAAAGTGCTGCTGATGCGAGAGTACAGGAGAGCATCTTGGGTTAGAGGACTTGATGTGGTTTTCTCATGAGGAATATGGCCAAAAATTCTCATTTCTGCTGTCAGATCCGAGGAATGTGTTTCGTTTGACTTGAGAATTGTTCAGGCGCCTTTCAGGACTCTTCCGGGAGAATCTTGTGTGTCATTCAGAGGTGTGGCCACTCATCTGTGTAGCCACTCAAAAGGTTAAATCTCCAGAGACTTATGCACAGACCAAACCTTTGGATTACTAACTTTATAGATCCCTGACATGAAAGATATCGGCCTGACTTGACCTTTGCAGATATGTCTGAGGTGTGATAGCTGAGTATGTTGGGTGTTTGTCATTTCCATACTTGTGGAGTCTAGTGTAGAAGTTGTAGCCTCTAGATCAGAGCCGTCACTTCAGAAATTAGATCTAAAGCTCCATGACTATCAAACGTTGCTCTGTTATGCCATAAAGTAGCCCCAGATGTTTCTTTTAAATACACAGAATAATTTAATAAAATAATAAAGATAACATTTAGCTTAAATCATTAATACCAGGCTTCTTCATCACTTCAGGACCCCGTGATGGACGGGAGACAAGCCCAGAGTGTCCCCCGCCTCCCATCCGATGACTCCTGTGATCCTAGTGAGAATGAAGACATTTAGATGATTTATAGATGGAAATGCATGTTTCCATATTTGTATAGAACCACATTTTTCTCAGTGATGAAGTGAGAAGAGCGTCAGGCTCGATACCTCTGGGTGTGATGAAAGACAGGTGTGAAAGCAGCAGGATCTCTTTTACCCTGATGGCCTCGCGCACTGATTTTCAGTTTCGATGGACAACAAACACCACCACGGCACCTCCTTCTCGCACTTATCTTACTCTATTTTACCGCGTCCCCCTTGCTGCGGTCCTAGCTAATGTTTTTTTAGTGTCAGGATTTATTCCCATAAGGGGCAATATTATTCACCCTCACTCCTCTTCTGTTTCTCTGCAGCTTCAGATCATCACGCTGGACATGGGCCACGATTGACAACCAGGAGAACTGAGGAGACCTGCCAGTCACTCTCTTATCAGTTTGTCAGAGGGCTATCTCCTGCTCGGCTCCCTTGCTCCCTCTTCCCACAGTCCTCTCCTCTCATCTTTGGACTGGTAACCTCACCCCTCTCTAGGTTCTCAAAAAACACAGACAAAAACAGAAAAGAGGTCTCGTCTAAGCCGACTCATGCCCCCCCTGAATGGAGCCTGACATGCCTCCTCCTTACATTTGAGTGAGCGGACAAAGCTGGGAGAAGAAGAGTAATCCCTTGTTTGGAAACCTTCAAAAGGAAACACAGCTCCATTAGAAGGAGCTGTGAGAGGAGCAGCCATGCATTTCCAGTTGGTGTTGATGATGCAGGCGATCTGGACTGGCGTTTGCCACGCTGCCATGCAGCATTACCCTGCAGCTTGGGGCCACTATGATGTGTGCAAGTCCCAGGTCTACTCAGATGAAGGTTTAACCTGGGACTACATGGCCTGCCAGCCAGAAGCAGCAGACATGACCCAGTTCCTTAAGGTGACCCTGGACCCCCCCAACATCACCTGTGGAGACCCACCAGAGACGTACTGTGCCCTGGTGAGTACATAGAAAACTCTTAACCCCACTTATCACGAAGGTATCTTTTCTTGAGTGGTGTTCATTTGCTTGGTTTGCTCTGACCCTGGTAGCCATAACAGACGCACATGAAAGTGCCCGTGTGACTGAGATATGTGACTGTGGCTGAAGGAATGAACGCTTGTGCCCACTGAAGTTATCGTCTAGAGAGCGGTTCATCAGTGTAAACCACAACCCCATGTGTCGTTGATGTCACAAACAGGAATTTACCTCATTTCCACATGCACAAGACAAATGTAGGACCAGTGAAGAGTTTTTGTTGGGCAATGCCTAATGCTGGGTGAGTGATTGGCTTTGATTCAAGAAGAAAATAATACAAGGATGTACATTTCTGACGGTCGGTTTTATACCAGACACAAGGGGTGAAGGACATTTGCCCTTAGATGAGAACATTTTGGTTTAAGATGATCAACTTGATGATTACATATTTTAAGGTTCCTCATTCATTTAATTTGGATGTGTTGCTGCATCACATCAATACTGAGAAATGCGTTCTCTTGTCACATGAGATTAGGTTAAATTAGGTTAAGTTAGGCTAGGCTAGCTTAGGTTAGGTTAGCTTAAGTTAGGTTAAGTTAAATTAGGCTGGGCAAGACTAGGCTAGCTTATGTTAGGTTAGGTTAAGTTAGGTTAAGTTAAATTAGGTAAAGTTAGGATAAGCTAGGCTAGGCTAGCTTAGGTTAGGTGTGGGTAGGCTAGGTTAGGTTAGGATGTATTAGGTTAGGTTAAAATAAATTAGGTAAAGTTAGGCTAGTCTAGGCTAGCTTAGGTTAATTTAGGTTAGGTCAGGTTAAGTTAAGTTAAGTTGAGTTAAGTTAACCTAGTGTGTGTGTAAGTGTGTATTGATTACATATACATTTATTAAATATCATATAACTTGGAAGACACTGACACAACCTGTAGAAGCTGTTTCCAGTATATGTTTCAAGCCCCTCCCCCCTTATGTGAACTGATTTGATATTGCATTGACTAAAAACAAAAATACAGCTGAGACCATTTTAATCCTGGTGCTAACTTTTGTTGGTCCACCTGGTGTTTTTTCTCTCTCTGATGCATGTTCAAAATGTATTTGTTCAATGTTTTTAGTTGTCTTGAGATATCTGATGCATAAAAGTACCACAACTGCAGGGCAGTAGGCACAACCTTCAGCCACACAATCCAAGGTGCTCAGACTCAAGCGTCCAAAATACAATGGGGCAGACCTTCTAAGTAACATTTTACAGCTCACATTTTATTTTTTTATTAATCATTATAACACAGTTGTTTTAGCTACAGTAGCCCTGAAGAGACACACCAAGCACTTGCATGAGAATGTTACGTATTCTTACTTTTAGCTACTATTTTTGCAATTCCCCTCACTGCTGAATATTGCAATAATAATAATAATAATAACATTTTTTATTGTTGTTATTATTATTACTATTTAAAACATCCTTTGAAATTGCAACTCATTGATTAAATGCATTGTTACTAAAATTACTGTAGTTATGAAAATACATTTTCTGAGGATCCGCAAAAGGAGATAGAAATATCAGGTCAAGTTTTAGATTAGAATAGTGCACTCCTCCTTATTTGGGATCTTTTGCTCCTTGAAATTCACAGCTGGGTGCTTTAGACTGATGCTTAATGATGAATCCAGTTTGGGCCGCTGTGTGTTACCAAGTCATCAAAGATTCCATCAGAACAAATTTGCTCCTTCAAGAGCTCTTTAGATGAATAGCAAGATGTTTCAGGAAAAGTTGTGACTGTAGGGGTATAAATAGACTGTTGCCATCAGCACAAATTCAGCTGAGAGGGAAGACAGAAGAACAAAGAGGGATTAACAAAGCACACATGACAAAAGCCGCAAAAGAATGATCAGAGAAGTTAGAAAAAACCCGCGTAAGGGAGCCGGAGACTCAGAGGACTCGGTGCGAAGCATCTGATAAGTAAAGAACTAATATCTCATGTGTAGGGGGGATGGAGGCTCTGAAGTGTGAATAATTCAATATGTTTTGTAGCTAATGTGTTTTATTCATAGGACACATTATTCGGCATGACATCTCTGAGGCACTTCTCAAAAAAAATGTTGACTCCTGTGACTCCAAGTATGGTTGAAGGCAAAGTGAGTGGGAGGGGGTGGCGCACATCTGAACACTTACAGTTAACAAGCAGCCACCATCTGCTTCCCTTGCCACGACTCCAGCTCTACAAACAGATTAACACTTATACCAGTTATGGATGTGCAGTGCAGCAGCAACATTTGGGACAAATTGTCCAAATCCTGGAGGACCGGGACCCACCTGGAACAGATCCTTCAATGGCAGACTTCTAAATCATAACTGAAACTAGGTATATAATTATTATTGTCAGTCTAACCATCAGACAGTGGCTTATTGAATCAGTAGGCTGCGGTCCCACGCTGCTGCCCTGAAGTCTCACGCAGTCAATGTGATTGGAAAGCCTCAATTAAAGCAGCGGTGGTTAGCTCCCACATAACCATTTCCTCTCTCTCTGATGCTTTACGCTGATCACAAATCACACAAACATCAGTGGAATGTGACCCCCGCCACTTACCATAGAGTCCAATTCGCCTCAATCGTTTTATTTTTACCTCGGGCTGTAACGTATCTCCAGATCAACATCAGAACAATTATTGATATTTCAGCTGCTGTGCCTGCCAATCGGGTCGCTGCGTTAGCGGTTCAGATCATGAGTCTGGAAGATTCAGAGCAATTATCATTCGCTGAAGTTGTCGCTGAAATTCATCTCTCTGTTAATTGATTTTGCGCTCAGAGGGCCTAGAGCCTGCTTCCTGGAGAGGTGGAGGAAACGGACACCGATGCCGGACAAGAACAGACAGAAAGAGGGAGGGAGAGAGAGAGAGAGAGAGCGAGAGAGAGAGAGGGAGAGAGAGAGAGAGAGAGAGAGAGAGAGAGAGAGAGAGAGAGAGAGAGAGAGCGAGAGAGAGAGAGGATGCAATAGCTTGAGGGTGGTGTGTGAGCGGAGCTAGCTCAGGTTGCGGCCCTCATCCCAGGGTCATGGATTAAGGAAGGCATCATAAAACACAACACACACACACACACACACACACACACACACACACACACACACACACACACTGCTCTCCCCTGTAAAGACTTTTTATTCTCCTTCTAGCCTGGTGACCTTTTCAGTAGCAATAAGCTGGCATTCTCTGAACTCTGGCACATGGATCTGCCGTCATATGAGATTTCACTGTCCCCTCCAGTTAGACTCTGACTGGCCTACAAAGGCCTGGACAGCTCCCACAACAACAACAATCAGCTGATGGCTGACAGCAGGTGGAAACAGGAGAGAAACTCTCAGCTCATATTTATTTTGTCTTTGGTCACATCAACAATTTCAAGTAGGTGAAACCTGACTCCTAAACGAAACGCATCAAATAAAACAAAACATTTATTTGAATGTTTTCTGCCATGTCTATATAGCTCCTGATATATATATATATATATTTTTTTTTTAAACACACAAACTTTATAGAGAAAAAAATGTCTAAAATGTTACTGAGTTTTAATTAATGAATTTACTTTTTTTACTTGTATCTTGTTTATCCAGATTCTGTCACAGGTGAACATTTTGTTTTGCAATAGATGGTAACTGAGAGGCCGTTTTATGCAACATCAGAGAAAAAATACACGTTTTGGAAGAAACAGTCTCCAAACCTTTGTATTTTGTACATTTATTGGTGCTCAGGATGTTTCACAGTTTTGGTTTGAAGAATGTGGACAGAGATCTTTTCATTAACACACAGAAACATGGTCATTCAAAAGAAGTTCTAGAGTAGACCTGCCATCAAAAAGTTTAAAGCATGCTTGTGATCGTTTATTTGTAGTGTCAGCTTAATATCTCGTTAACAACTGGATGAATTTGAGCAAAACATATTGAAATAAGATAAGATAAGATAAGAACAACTTTATTTATCCCGAGGGAAATTATTGTGTCATGTACATGCTCAAAGCAGTAGGAGAGACAAAGGAACAGGTGAAATAGATATAAGATATACGATATATACAGTAAAAATAGTGTACAGTAGTATACAATAGGATAGTGCAAGATAAATACTCAGATAACTCAACAAATAAAATACATGACTGTATCCTGGTGAATAAGTAATTAAGCTATCAGTGCAGGCGATTTTTGAAAATGATCAAAGTATTGAGCAATAGAATTAAGGGTAGTAGCAGCATATGATGGAGGGATGCAAACACATTTCCAATAAGAACTCTTGGGTAATATTGCACGGTCGGGGATGGAACAGAATAACCAAGGTAATAGTATTAGGAGAATCACCTACAGGGTGAGGAAGAGTTAAACAATCCTATTGCCACGGTACGAAGGGTTTCCTGTGGCGGTCAGTTCTGCATTTAGGGGCAATGAGTCTTTTGCTGCGTGTGCTTCGATGGTCCATCATGTGGGCGTGCATGGGGTGGGAGGGGTTGTCGAAGATAGAGAGAAGTTTTTTTAGCATTCTCCTCTCAGACACCTCCTCCAGGTTCTCAAGTCTGACACCCAGGACAGAACCAGCCTTCCTAATCAGCTTGTTCAGCCTGCTGGCATCAGCTATCTTCACCCCACTGCCCCAGCACACAGCTGCAAAGAACACGACACTCTCCAACACCGAGTGGTAGAACATGGTCAGCATTTTCCTACCAACATTGAAGGACCTGAGCCACCTCAGTAGGAAAAGCTGACTCTGCCCTTTTTTGAAGATAGCATTGGTGTTCTTAGTCCAGTCCAGTTTACAGTCCAAGTGAACCCCCAGGTACCGGTAGTCCTCAACGATCTCAACGTCAGCCCCTCTGATGATGACAGGAGAAGGAGGTGGGGCCTGCTTCCTAAAGTCCATAATCAGTTCCTTAGTCTTTGTGATGTTAAGTTGTAGGTGGTTTAGCTCACACCACTCCACAAAGCTGTCCACCACACTCCTGTACTCCACCTCC